CCGCCTCGGCCAGTCGCCGGGAGGGGGCGGAGTCTATGAGGGGGTCTGGGCCAGTGGAGGGGGCGGAGTCTATGGAGGCGGGGCCTGAGGCAGTGGAGGGGGCGTAGTCCATGAGGGGGGTCTGGGCCAGGGAGGGGGCGGATTCAATGGAGGCGGGGCCTGAGGCAGTGGGGGGGCGGAGTCAATGGGGGAGGGGGCGTCTGGGCCGGTGGAGGGGGCGGAGTCTATGAAGGCTCACTGGTTCTGCCCACGATGGCAGTTTGTATTTGAGACCGTCAGATATTTGGAAGGAAGCGTTTGGGGTGGACTTCTTTCTAGAAAGCTTTCAACAGGCTCCTCTGTCTGCGCTGGGAACAAGTCCGGCTAGAGCTAGACAGTCGCACTTTACAGAAAAGGGACATTTGGCGCTGTACTGCTACGAACGAATGGGTAATTTTTCCAGAAGTAGCAATCACGTGGTCCCCTGACTTTAGAGACACACACATGGGTGGCCATGATGCCCTGAGACTTTGCCAGGCACTGCCTGTCCCCAGGCAGATACCTTCAACGGTGACAGCCCTGACATCCTGAACCAACAGGCCACGTGGACATCCAACCCCCTGTACACCAGACATCCCAGCTGTGGGACACACCCCACTGCCCAAGGCTCTCTCCCAGCCTCCCGCCTCCTCCTTATCCAGAGAAAAACACACTGGCTGGGAAATGGGGAGAAGGAGAGAGGCTGGGCAGTGGCTGCAGCCCAAATGCCAGTCCCCACAACTATTGGGGGCCCTTCCTTGCATCTGTCTCACCTTAAGGGTGGACTTGAAGCCTCCCCCACTCAGCCCCAGAGGTGCTCCTTAGGAAGTGGGCACAGCCCAGCTGGTGTGGATGAGTGGTTGAGCATCAGAAGGCCACGGTTCCATTCCTGGTCAGGGCACACGCCTGGGTTGCAGGCTCAATCCCCAGTGTGGGGTGTGCAGGAGGCAGCCAATCGATGATTCTCATCATCGATGTTTTTTTCTCTCTCTCTCCCTTTCCCTTCCTCTCTGAAATCTATATATTAAACTATATATTAAAAACATTTTTTAGCCCTAGCTGGTTTGGCTCAGTGGATAGAGTGGTGGCCTTCGGACTGAAGGGTCCCAGATTCAATTCCGCTCAAGGGCACATGCCTGGGTTGTGGGCTTGATCCCCAGTAGGGGGTGTGCAGGAGACTGCCAGTCAATGAATCTCTCTCATCATTGATGTTTCTACCTCTCTCCCTCTCCCTTCCTCTCTGAAGTCAATAAAAATATATTTAAAATATATGTATTTTTTTAAAGTGGGGCACAACTCATGGTTCCCAACACTGCCTGAGCTAAAACAGGAGCCCCACATCCACAGGAGAATGGGGCACCATTTTCTGCCTAAGCAAACCCCAAATCTATGTGAGTTTCAATACAATTATGATGAAAACATCCAAACTTCAAACATCCCCCAGGCTGCGGTATGCAAAGAGCCCATTGGAGCCCTTTCAGGTGGTCTGGACACCCTGTAAACCAGCCCAAGTGCATGGAGGGTGGAGACACAGTTAAGACTCACAGCGGTTCCGTCCCCAAAGCCCCCACTGGCTTTATTAGCCCCTGCAGCCACCTCTGCTGTTGCTGCCCCTGGTATTTGCTAAGCGGGCGGGCAGGTGGGCAGGGACACAGGTGGGCTGCTACTTGAGAAGCTTCCTCATGGTGCCCAGGGTCGGGCTCCTGTACTCCCTCCCAAAGTGGTTCCAGTGGTTCACGTAGTTAAAGAGCTGGTAGAGCAGATGCCGCTGGTCGAACCCTGGAGCCTTGGGGATCTTCCGGTGGTAGGCGGTGAAGAAGGACCTGGGGAAGCCGCCGAACATCAAGGCAATTGCCAGTTCGAACTCAGAATGGCCATAGAAGGACGCTGGGTCGTAGATAAGGGGTCCCGAGTCGTCCTCGGCCACGTTTCCTGACCAGAGATCCCCGTGAAGAAGTGCGGGGACAATCTCTAGGCCACGAAACAGATCCGGGATCTTCACCTAAGGAAATAATATTGGACACACAGGTATGCGACTATGAGCCGCGGTTTCCTCATGCAATACGGGGAACGAAGGCAAAGATGGCCTCGTGTTTGTTCAGTGTCAAAGCAAGCCCAGGGCAGTGGAACTTGGTCTAGACCAGTGATGGCGAACCTATGACGCGCGTGTCAGAGATGACACGCGAACTCATTTTTTTGGTTGATTTTTCTTTGTTAAATGGCATTTAAATATATAAAATAAATATCAAAAATATAAGTCTTTGTTTTACTATGGTTGCAAAGATCAAAAAATTTCTATATGTGACACGCACAAGAGTTAAGTTAGGGTTTTTCAAAATGCTGACACGCCGAGCTCAAAAAGTTCACCATCACTGGTCTAGACTCAGGCCCGAAGCTCCATGACACTAATGATTTACATACGGTGTCAAACCCCAGAGGTGATGGTTTTATCTCCTATAGAATAGAAACTATATAACCTGAACTGTATAACCTGAGTGAAGGTATTTTTTTTGTACCTAACTTAACAAACTTTCTCCACTATTCTTTTATTTCACATCACATGTATCTGCACCTCTTTTGTATCCCATCGGTTACTTCATTAAAGAGTTAAATAAGCCCAGAGGGTGTGGTTCAGTGGTTGAGACTCGATTTTGGGCTTCGTCCCCAGTGGAGGAAGTGCAGGAGACAACTGATCAATGAGTCTCTCTCATCATTGATGTTTCTATCTCTCTCTCTCTCCCTCTCCCTTCCTCTCTGAAATCAATAAAAAAATACTTTTTTAAAGAGTTAAATAATAGTTCTTCAATGCATGCTCACTCTAGATCAGCCTTGGGCAAACTACGGCCGCGGGGGGGATCCGGTTGTCCAAAATGAATAAAACTAAAAAAAAAAAAAAAAAAAAAAAAAGACCGTACCCTTTTTATGTAAGGATGTTTACTTTTGAATTTTATATTAGGTTCACACAAACACTCCCTTCCATGCTTTTTGTTCCCGCCCCCCCCGGCCCAGTTTTAAAGAACCCATTTGGGCCCCTCGGAGCAAAAAAGGTTTGCCCCCCCCCTGGCCTAGATTTGACCTAAGAGTTCTGTTTTTTCACATTTTGGGGGGTTGCTTTGAAACCAGTCCCCTCGGGCATCTTCCTGCCCCAATTCTGCTCTAAGAAGGAAAAACATTCATGGTTTCAGCAGGAAAAAGGGAAAAAGTGGGGAAAGAAAAGCCCTAA